ATCACAAGTATCAGTTGTGTTTTTGTACACGAACAGTGAAATCTAAAAATTAAATGTTTATACAGTATTTTTAAAAATAGAAAAATACTTAAGAGCAAAGTTAACCAAGGAGGCAAAGGAATTATACTGAAAAGGACAGAGCCTTGCTAAAGAAAATTAAAGAAGACCCGAGCAAATTGAAAGGCATCCTGTGTTAATGGTTTGGAAGAGTTCAAATTGTTCAAATGTCCATATTACCCAAAGATACTAAAAATTCAGTGCAGTACCTATAAAAATCTCAATGGCCTTTTTTGCAGAAACAAAAAATCCTAAAATTCCTATCGAATCTCATAGGATTTTGAATAGCCAAAAGTCTTGAGAAAGAAAAACAAAGATTGTGGCTTCATACTTCCTTATTTCAGAATATATTACAAAGTACAGAAATAAAACAATATGATACCAACATAAAGAGATATATAGACCAATGGGACAGAATATGTGGCCCAGAAATAAACCCTTAATGGGGAGATGATAGTCCGTCCCTTCAACAAATAGTTTTGGGAAAACTGGATATCCATGAGCAAAAGGATCAAACTGGACTCAGACCATGTACAAAAATTAACTCAAGTGTATTGAAGCCTTAAATGTGATACCTGAAACTACAAAATTCCAAGGAAAAAAGCTTTATGGTATTTATGGCCAAGTGTTTTCTTGGATATAATACCATAGCACAGATAACAAAAGCAAAAATAATATGGTCTTTCCCCTGAATCTCTCTTGGTGGTACAAAATCTTTACATTCATGTCAGCTCACCTTACTTGGACCTGTCCTAGAAAACAGCAGAGTTCCACACATGACTGCCTCGTTTATCAGAGTGCTCCATGAGTATCTTCTGGATGAATGGTTTTCTAGATAATTGGATCTTTGCACTTTAAATACTACTTTTAATAGATACCCCTTTAAAAATGTGTGACAAATAAGCCTAAAATCACCCCAGTTGGGTAATGTTGCTCAAAATAGCCACTGGTAAACATCCAGATGGTAGTTATATGGGTGTTCACTGTAAAATTATTTCAAATTTGTTGTACACTTGAAATTTTCCTAATAAATACTGGAGAAATAAACATCACACCAGGAGGCCATGAAACCCCTTTACAAACAATCAGAGGTTACTCAAAGGGCTCAGTGTGTAGATGGTTGAGGTTGCCAGCTCTGGAGCCGGACTGCCTAGGTTCTTATCTGGTCTCTGCTGCCTTCTAGCTGTGTGACCTTCTGGCACTTAATGCACTTCTATGAGCCTAGTCTTTTTTGACCATAAAATGGGATTCTTGGGTTTGTTGTGAGAATAAATTGAAAGGATGTGTACAAAAGCACATTCTACAATCTAAGACTTTTGGTATGTGTCGATTGTTGCTATCATTGCCTCTACTATTAGTCCTTTGCCATTGCCTGTAATCAATGACTGACCCCTGGGAGAGTGACCAGCAGTGTCACCCTCATTGGTCTATTATTTGAATGATCATTTGGGCCTAATCAGAGACTTAATTTTGAATCTCATTGGGACTATTTCCAAAATCAAAATCATCTTCTTTTCATCCACTTTTCAGCCTTAGTAAGTAAAACATGGGTCATATAATTTACTTACACCTTCCCCAGGGCAACCCACTCCCATTGCAGACAGCAGTTCCGGCCCTGGGCCATGGTGCTGGTAGCACAGAGGCAAGGCCCTGCACCTGCCTGCTCCTAAGTCCTGCTGGCCTCCTGGCTTCTTGGGAACCCATGCTCTCTTCCCCTGTGGTGGTTTGTCTTCCACCTAGCAAGTTGGCATCTCTCTTCCCTCTCTCCTGCCAGCCCTGATGTTCACAGCCATTGCCATCCACCTGTACCCAGGGTGGAAGTCAGTATCACCAAGGTCAGTCAGAAAGGCTCACACATAATGTCACCTGCATTGGAAACTCAGAAATGCAATGATGACCCTCTTCTACAGACCTGACTGCTGTACTTTCTGCTCTCTGCCTTTCTGTGTTCAGTGTTCCTTTAGTGGTTTTTAATAGAGTCACAGAGGGCTGGGGCTGGGGCTCAGCGGTAGTGCACTCGCCTAGCACATTCGAGTCCCTGGGTTTGATCCTCAACACCACATAAAAATAAATAAATAAAATAAAGGTAGTGTGCCCAACTACAACTAAAAAATAATTATTAAAAATATATATATAGTCAGAGTTCAGCGACCATCTCCATCATCTAATTTTAGAACATTTTTATAACCATAAGAAAAGACCTCGTAACCTTTAGAAGTCACCACCCCTTCCCCTCTCTCTTGAGCTCTCAGCAGCCCCCACTCTACCTCCTGCCTCCTTGGATTTGCCACTTCGGACATTTAATGGAGGTGGGATCATACAGTGTGTGTCATTTGTGTCTGCCTTCTTTCAATAGCACAATGTTTTCAGGTTTATCCATGTTACAGCGTGTATCAAAACTTCTTTCCTTTTTGGGACTGAATAATATTCCACTGTGTGGATATATATTACATTTTATTTATCCATTCCTCAATTGATAGGCTTTGGGTTGTTTCCATTTTTACTATTACTGTGAATAATGCTATTTTGATCAAGTTTTTGTGTGGGCAAGTTTTCACTTCTCCTTTTTATATACTTAGGAGTACAATTGCTAAGTCTTAGGCAATGCAGTATTAAGTTTTTGAGAAATTGCTGCACTGTTTGCCCAGCATGGCTGCCCATTTCCCATCCCTCCCTGCGGTGCCTGAGGGTTCAGTTTCCCCGAGACCTCCATCCACTGTCATTAGGCTGCAGCCTCCTGGTGGGCGCCAGGAGGTTTCTCCTTGTGGGTTCAGTTTGCATCTTGCTGACTACTAGTGATGTTGAGCATTTTGTAATGTGCCTCATTGACCATTTATAGATCTTCTTTGGAGAAATGTCTGTTCAAATCCTTTACTCATTTTTAGATTGGGTTATTACCTTTTGGTTGAGTTGTAAAAATTCTTTATATATTCTAGGTACATCTTATGTGATGCTGAGAATCGATCCTGGGGCCTCATACATGTTAGGCAAGTGCTCTACCACTGAGTCACAATTGCAGCCCCGAAGCACAAGTTTTTAATTTTGGTAAAATCCAATTTGTCTTTTATCTTTTGTCACGCTTTCAGATATCCTATTGGATGGTCTTCCATGATTTGTCTAAAATGTGATTTGCTCATTAGGAACTTAACTGTATTATTCTTCGTTTCTCTGACTTGGAATTGCAAAACTTAATTTAAAATGTTTGCCTATATACAAAGGAACTTAGGAATGATATACTTTGAGCTTATAAACCATTTCTGCACATTTAACCTAAGGAAATAACTTGATAGAAGAAAAATACCCTGTATGTCCAGAGTTGTTCATTTTACGGACCCCTGACATTGGGGCAGTGGGGGTTTTGCCAGGGGGTCAGTTAAAGCCATTGTGGTGTATTCTTAGGTAGTTGCCAGTTATCATAATTATGAAGAATATGTAATGAAAATGTTTATAATTATCATGTTCGTGAGAAAAACTCAAGTGTGTGCTCCTTCTGATTAAATATCTGTATAAAATATTTGCACTGGGGCTAGGGCTCAGTGGCAGAGCGCTTGCCTGGCCCATATAAGGTACTGGGTTCGACCCTCAGCACCACATAAAAATAAATAAATAAATAAAATAAAGGTATTGTGTCCACCTACAACTAAAAATATTTTTAAAAATATTTGGGCTGATGAAAGGGTATATATAATTATAGGTAGTTTTATAGTCTTTGTTTAATGTTGATATGTTTAACATTAAAATTAAGTGAAAAGCATGCATAGTGACAAGTAGTTAAATCTGGGTAAATGTTTCTTTCTTTCTCACCACAACTTTTTTTTAATAGTAATTATTTTTACCATTACAGTCATCAGGGTTACATTTAGAAACAATATAAAAATAGTTTCTATGTTTGCTTGCTAAGAATTTGAATGGAGATATTTAGATTTTCTCTACATTTTATATTGAGTATTGATGATAATTTGATTTTAATATTATAATTACTATTATCTTAATCATTACAGCATTATAATTTGCTAAAAAGAAGGCAATGATGATTATGGTGATATGTTAATAGGGATCACAGAAGCACTTTTCTCATGACATCTCATGAAATGATTATTATTACAGTAATTTTGTATATAAGTAAATCCATCCATCAGCTTTGAAATAAATTTCAAAAACAGACCAAAGATATTTTTAAGAAGCAGTAAAGATACTGCAAGAAAATAAAATGAAAAATAAAAAAGTAAAGTCAAGTCATTAGAGTAGGCACAGCCCTGTGAGAACCCGCTGTGAGCTACTGGGCTATAAACTGGATCTTTGGATACCCTGACCTTTGGCCTCATCTGGGTGGCCCAGTCAGTAACTGGGAGGTGATTCTTTTCCTGCAGCCTGACTCGGGGTGGCAGACAGCAAGAAGGGATGGCCCCAGAGAGGCCCCATTCTTGTGGCAGGCCTGTCTTCCCCCCCAGCCGCCCCCTGCATTCACACACTGCAGCACGCCCAGTCTCTGTGCCTGGCCTGGGGGAGGCTAGGCGTGTTCTCCTGTGTGGGAAGGCTGTGAAAAGAAAAACCCTTGTTGGCCCAAACATTTAGACAAGAGTTACAGTGGATCTTTTGTTCTCACTCTGACATGGTCAGAATTAATTTGGAGGTCCCAAAGAGGGCATTTTTGTTTTTGTTTTTAAAACTGAGTTACTTAATGCAAGGATATGGGGGGGAAAAAGAACTAAGAAGTATGGCTGTGGTCTATAAAGGAGTGTTGGAACACTCCCAGGTCATTTTTCAGGGGAATGTACTGTTAGCAACTGAGGGCTCCTGACTCAGTCTTTACATCTGAGCTGCTGGGGAACTGAACGTCTTGTGAAAAGACCTAGATGCTGGAGGACAAGCAGCGAACTGTGTCTGGGGATCTGAGAAATAGTTTAAGGTATCTTAATTATGTTTTTTCTCTTCCTCCTCAGGTTTAATAGGGGAAACCTACTTTCTGCAAGTAACTGAAAAAGCTGCCCTCGGAAGCTGTTTCTTGGGCCCTCATGGAGTAGTTGGAACTTTTACTGTCAGATCCTTGGGCTCCTGATCACCCAGAGTAGCCATGGCCAGCAAGAGGAAATCCACCACCCCATGCATGATCCCAGTAAAGACTGTAGTGCTGCAGGATGCCATTGTGGAGGCCCAGCCAGCAGAGGCCTTGCCTGAAGTACCCCAGCAGGATCTTCCCCCAGAAGCACCTGCTACCAGCAGTGAGGCAGCTCAGAACTCCAGCAGTACTGATGGCTCCTCACTGGCCAATGGGCATCGGAACACTTTGGATGGCTATTTATATTCCTGTAAAGACTGTGATTTCAGATCCCAGGACATGACCCAATTTGTGGGACATATGAACTCAGAGCACACAGACTTTAATAAAGATCCAACTTTTATCTGCCCTGGGTGCAGTTTCCTGGCAAAAACCCCCGAGGGGCTTTCCCTGCACAATGCCAAGTGTCATTCAGGGGAAGCCAACTTTGTGTGGAATGTGGCCAAGCCAGACAATCATGTAGTCGTGGAGCAGAGTATCCCTGAGAGCACCAGCACTCCTGACCCAGCAGGGGAGCCCGGCGCTGAGGGGACTGATGGACAGGCTGAAATCATCATCACTAAGACTCCAATCATGAAGATAATGAAAGGCAAAGCTGAAGCCAAAAAAATCCATACTCTCAAAGAGAATGTCCCCAGCCAGCCTGTGGGTGAGGCCTTGCCAAAGCCATCAGCTGGGGAAGCAGAGGTGAAAGAGGGGGACCACACCTTTGTTAATGGGGCAGCTCCAGTCAGCCAGGCACCTGCCAGCTCTGCAAAGCCCCCCCATACCACCAATGGGCCCCTGATAGGAACGGTGCCAGTTCTGCCAGCTGGTATAGCACAGTTCCTGTCTCTCCAGCAGCAGGCCCCGGTGCACACCCAGCACCATGCCCACCAGCCCCTGCCTACATCCAAGGCCCTTCCCAAAGTGATGATCCCCCTGAGCAGCATCCCAACGTACAACGCGGCTATGGACTCCAACAGCTTCCTGAAAAACTCCTTTCATAAGTTCCCCTACCCAACCAAAGCCGAGCTCTGCTACCTGACTGTGGTGACCAAGTATCCAGAAGAACAGCTCAAGATCTGGTTCACAGCCCAGAGGCTGAAGCAAGGTATCAGCTGGTCCCCTGAGGAGATCGAGGATGCCCGTAAAAAGATGTTCAATACAGTCATCCAGTCTGTGCCTCAGCCCACGATCACAGTTCTGAACACCCCCCTGGTTGCCAGTGCAGGCAATGTCCAGCATCTCATCCAGGCCGCTCTCCCAGGCCACGTTGTCGGACAGCCAGAGGGCACAGCAGGAGGACTCCTGGTCAGCCAGCCACTGATGGCCAATGGGTTGCAAGCACCAACCTCGTCTCTCCCCCTGGCAGTCACATCTGTTCCCAAGCAGCCAACAGTGGCACCTATTAACACCGTGTGTTCAAATACAACATCGGCCGTGAAGGTGGTCAACGCAGCCCAGTCTCTCCTCACAGCCTGCCCCAGCATAACTTCCCAAGCCTTCCTCGATGCTAGCATCTACAAAAATAAGAAGTCTCACGAACAACTGTCCGCTCTGAAAGGGAGCTTCTGCCGGAACCAGTTCCCAGGGCAGAGTGAAGTCGAACATCTGACCAAAGTCACCGGCCTCAGCACTAGAGAGGTGCGGAAGTGGTTCAGTGATCGGAGGTACCATTGCCGGAACCTGAAGGGCTCCAGAGCCATGATGCCTGGGGATCACGGCTCCATTCTCATTGACTCTGTGCCCGAGGTGCCCTTCTCCCCATCCTCCAAGGCTCCCGAGGTAACCTGTATCCCAACAGCGACCTCATTAGCAAGCCACCCTGCTGCCAAACGGCAATCCTGGCACCAGACTCCTGACTTCACGCCCACCAAATACAAGGAGAGAGCCCCAGAGCAGCTCCGAGCCCTGGAGAGCAGCTTTGCACAAAACCCACTCCCTCTAGACGAGGAACTGGACCGCCTGAGAAGTGAAACCAAGATGACCCGGAGAGAGATCGATAGCTGGTTTTCAGAGAAACGGAAAAAAGTGAATGCTGAGGAGACCAAGAAAGCCGATGGGACAGCCTGTCAGGAGGAAGGGGAGGCTGCTGAGGACGAGGGGGGAGAGGCGGAGTTGGCCAGTGAACTGAGGGTTGCTGGTGAAAATGGTTCCCCAGAAATGCCCATCAGCCAGATATCAGCAGAGCGCAAAGTCAGCCCCATCAAAATCAATCTCAAGAACCTGAGGGTCACTGAAGCCAGTGGCAAGAGTGAGCTTCCAGGGCTCCTTGCCTGTGAGCTGGAGGAGGATAGTTTGAACAAGCTGGCAGAGCAACCCCCTGGCAAAGTGAGCTACAAAAAGACGGCTCAGCAGCGACACTTGCTGCGGCAGCTCTTTGTCCAGACCCAGTGGCCAAGCAACCAGGACTATGACTCCATCATGGCCCAGACGGGGCTGCCGCGGCCAGAAGTGGTGCGCTGGTTTGGAGACAGCAGGTATGCTCTGAAGAACGGCCAGCTCAAGTGGTACGAAGACTATAAGCGGGGCAACTTCCCACCGGGGCTGCTGGTCATCACCCCTGGAAACCGGGAGCTGCTGCAAGACTATTACATGACACACAAGATGTTGTACGAGGAAGACCTGCAGAACCTCTGTGACAAGACCCAGATGAGCTCCCAGCAGGTCAAGCAGTGGTTTGCTGAGAAAATGGGTGAGGAGACCCGGGCCATGGCAGACACAGGTGGTGAAGACCAGGGCCCTGGTACTGGTGAGCCTGCGGCAACTCACAAAGGGCTGGGTGACTCCTATTCAGAAGTGTCTGAGAACAGTGAGTCGTGGGAGCCCAGTGCACCTGAGGCCAGCTCAGAGCCCTTTGGTACATCAAGTCCCCAGGCTGGACTTCAGCTAGGTAAGGAATCTCCAGGAGCCATGGCCTTCCTTTGTGGGTGAGGGGAGGATGCACTCACAGGTGGACATTGAATTTATTGCACAGGGGGCATCTGCTATCTCTAAGGCTGCCTGGCAACAGGACTAACTTCCTGTCTACTTGAGGGGACAACAGGCAGCAGAAGCCATGGGAGCCTAATATGGATAAAGGGGTGAGAGTTGGGTTTTTTTTTTTTGGTTCATTTGTTTTAAGCCTGTACAGGGAAAAGAACATGGTAAATCTAAAAGGACCCAACCCTTTTTTTGACCACTTCTTAGCACTAGAAGAATAGATCAAAACATCATTTAAGGCAGATCCCGAATCACTGGGTAGAAGAGAGCCATAGGACATCAGAGGAAAATCAACTCAAACTGTTAAACAAGGGGAAAGAGCCTTTGTCTTTAGATACATGAAGTGATACCAGGTGCTGTGGTGCACACCTGTAATCCCAGTGGCTCAGGAGGCTGAAGCAGGAGGATCACAAGTTCAAAGCCATCCTCAGCAACTTAAGGAGGCCTTAAGCAATTCAGGGAGACCCTGTCTCTAAATAAAATATTATAAAAGGGCTGGATATGTGGCTCAGTAGTAAGCACCCCTGGGTTCAATCCTTGGTACCAAACAAAAATACATGAAGTGCTTTTATCTAATGGTGGCAGGGTTTGTGTTTCTGTTTTTCCTGAAGTAGAAGTGTTTATTATAATGGAAATCACCTTCTCTCTTGGACATATATGGAATTCAAAGTTTGAATTGTGTTCCTCAGTTTCTTTGAATTATGGTATTTTAGTATTCAAAAGCAAAATTCAGAAAATTATTTTAAGACATAGTTGTGAAGCCACAGACAAGTCACATTATCAGTTGTTAACTTTCTAGGTTCTAGGTCCCTGAACTCTCAGCCACTCACTTTGGTATTTGATTCCTCATTTAAGGCCCCATCACTAAGCAGCCAGAAGCTCAGGGAGAGCCAAGAGGGAAGTGTTGCAGAAGATGAAGGGATTGGGGACTTAAAGATGGTGGCCCTGCCAGCTGGGTTGGCTGTGGTGAGGGTGCAGAAGATACCCAGACAATGCCTTTAGAGTTGGGCAATGTGGAGGTAGGTCCTGGAGAATCTGTACCTCATCCAGGCACCACCCCCTCCGGGGTAGGGTTTAGAGGCGTGTGAGTGTTGAGATACTGTACCTCACACAGCAATGCCCCTCCCTCCATCAGCATCTGTAGTAACTGTGGCCCAGCTTCCTGCTGTGGCTTGTCATTGCTGGGGTGGGCATTAAGGACTTTGTCTTCCAAAAGTCAGTTTTGAGTTTTGATTGCTGATCACTGCATTTGATTACTGAGGGGTCAGCATAGAGACTGGTCATTTTTCCAATCCCTGTGGGCTGAAGCAGCTTCCTAGCCACAAGGGATTTAAAGAGACAGTACTCTTTTTAAAAATTCCCCCTTTTGGTGAGTCAAACATTTAAAGAAAACTTAGGTGGCCACAGAGACCACAGAACAGAAACTTCAGTGACCCCATACCACAAGGAATACCATTTTGCAAAAATGGTTTGGAAAAGTTCACAGAAGGCTCTAATCCTCAAAAAGAAAAAAATTAACAATGCTGGAGATGGAGAGAATTAGATTTTGAGTTACTACACAATCTTCAGAAATTCTAGTTCTCAACAAAAAATTGCAAAACATACAAAGAAATCAGAAAGCATGGCCCATTCACAGCAGTCAGACACCATCCTTCAGTAAGTCTAGACACTGGAATTATTAGTCAAAGATGTTAAATCAGCTATCTTACAGAAGTTTAGTGAACTGAAGGAAATCATGAACAAAGAACTGAAGTCAATCAGGAAAACTCTACATGAATAACAAGCCTATCAATAAAAAGATAGAAATTATAAAAGGGGGAACCAAACTCTAGAGCTGAAAAGTACAATCACTGAAATGGAAAGTTTATTAGAAGGGTTCAACAGCAGATTTGAGCAGTGAATCTAAAGTTTAGATGATTGAAGTTATCCAAAGGATAAGAAAAAAGAATGAAGGGAAATGAACAGAGTCTAAGGGACCTATGAGACATCATTAAACATACTGATATATTTATTATAGGAATCCTAGGAGCGAGAAAGGGGAAGAAAGAGTATATAAAGAAATCATGGCAGCTGGGTGGTGATGCACACCTGTAATCCCAGCGATTCAGGAGAGGGAGACAGAAGGATTGCATGTTCAAAGCCAGCCTCAGCAACATAACAAGGGCCTAAGAAACTTAGCAAGACTCTGTTTCAAAAAATAAAAAGGACTGGGGAATGTGGCTCTGTGGTAAAGCTCCCCTGGGAGTCCCCAGTACTCCCTCCCCCTCAAAAAAATTTATGGATGCTGAACCCAGCTGTTGTGATATGAGGGCAGCATGTTCCAGGGGGTGGTGAGGGAGAAGGCAGCGTGAGGTGTAGAAGACAGGGCTTGCAGGAGGTGGTGGCTGCCTGTAGCACTGGGGTGAGGCAAGGTAGGGTTTGTGGGTGTGGAGAGGCCATGCTGATGCTCCAGCTTTGAGGCCAGGGGTTTGGCAGCCATTCTGCAAAGAGACTAGAGGTCTTGGCACATCAGCCATCATCCTTAACCCACTTGCTCTTTTTCACCTTTCCTCAGGCTGGAGATGGGGGAGTGGCTGGCAGGAAGGCATTGCTCATGGAGTTAAGAAGTCCCCAAATCCAGTGATGCCACCCTGGCATAGTGAGGACCAGGCTGCCCTGGGGGCTGTACAGATTGCAGCAGCTGTGGAGTGACAGGCCTGTGTTTTCTCCTCAGAAACAGACTGAAATTGATCCGATTACTCTGAAGGACCGGCCCATCTGGGATGCTGCCTGCCACATGGAACAGCTGAACCTGCCTCTCTGCTGCCACATGTCGTTTCCATGGCCAGCCACTGGGTACCCAAGAAGGCCTCCAGAGGCCTTGCAGATAGCCCAGAGCCTGTTGCCACCAAGCAAGTGGCAAGAAGGGGTTCTGCCAGTCCTTCCTCCCACAGTGTAGGACCTTCCCTTGGCCTCCCAGGGATAAAGCAGTTCAGACTTCATATTCATAGACAGAATCAAGTTTTAACAAACATTGCCTCTCTACATTTAATAAAATACCAGATTACAAACACTTTCATTATATAGACACTTTGGTTAGCAAAGTGGGATGTTGTTCACATCATCTCTGAATGTGCCGTTTGTCTGTTCTCTGGGGAGCACTGGAGCCACTGATGCCCTCACTTTCCATGGGCAGGCAGGGGTTAAAGATGCTCAGAACTGTATCCCGGCCCCCAGGCCTCTCTGCTTTCCTCACAGAAGGATACCATTGAAGAGCTCTCTGTCATGTTAAGTGGTGACCAGCCACTTTTGGAGCCAGGCTTGCTTTGTGGGCTGGTTGGTGCAGAGCCTGTTGTTGCCCTTAGGTCAGAAAATGGCCTGGCTGTGCGAGTAGTGCTGGATCCTGGCCACTCTCCTCTTCAGGTGTTACCTTAATTCTGCTTTTTTTTTTTTTTTTTTTTGGTGGGAGTTTGAATCATGGACCATAACTTTACAGTTATCAGATCAACTAAAGAAATATTTGTTGTTAAGCCTAATATACTGACCTATGTGCCCCCCACCCCCACCGTGTTTTCTTTCTTTCTTTAATGTAGAAATGTAGACACCTTTATAGTGAGAGGAAAATGAAGAAAGGAAACGGGGAGAAGGTGGGTGAAGAAAGGTATAGCTACAGCCTGCAGTCCTGGCTACTGCAGTGTTGAGAGCCCTGTCCCCCCACTTACTACAGAAGCTCTCAGGAGAGTAAGAGGGAGGGCTGAATGGATTCGTAGACCGTGGGGAATTATCAGAGCTGGAGTGGACTTGAGCACCAAGACCTGTGGGTGGGAGTTCCTGGCAGAACATCTGGAACGCTGCAAGCACACACCAAGGGCCTGGCCAGCATGCTGGGCAGATACCCAGAGGTGCTGGACATCACTGGACAGGTCCTTGTGAGGGAGTCTCTGAAGTTCTGCATTTATGTCCCTAAACTTGGAAATAAGAATGCTTATGTAGTCTAACCCTCACGTCCTCCTTTGAATTGAGAAAATCACAGGAAAAGAAGCCTTTGAAACAATGGGAAACTTACAGAGTTGTACTAACTAGAAAAGCCCCGATTTCCTCAAGACCGGCCACTCTAGCAAAGGGGGTGGGTTGAGGATGTGTCACCTGTGGCCTCACCAACCTCTTAGAAGTGAACCAAAGACATTGGTTCCTGCAGTGCCAGGCACACGTGGAGGCCCCTCCTGCTGGGCCTGGGCTGCCTGGGGCACCAAGAGACCTGGGCAGGGAAGGGCTCAGGCATTAAGCGCTGGTTACACTCTATGTACCCAGGAAAGTGGAGCAGTCACACCATCTTGCTGGCTGGGCTGAGCTTGGTGTGGGGATGAGCTTGGTGCCAGCAGCCTCTGCCTTCTAGGAGAGGGCTTTCTTGGGAAACTCAAAGCCCTCGAACCATTGTTCTAAATTAGTGTTTTCTTTAGCCCTCCCTAGCCCAATAGGGACCACCTCTTATTTGTCTCAAACTGGGGACTTGTGAATACTTCTGCAAGTTTTGCAGCCTATTTTTGTTTCCTTTCCATTTGGGGAGTGAAGCTATGAGTCTCAGAAGCCTTTGAGGAACTGTCAAGAATGGCAAGTGATCGCCTTCCTTCAGAGAACAGACACTTGGAATCTTTCCTTTAGTTTTTATGTACATTCAGATTAATTTATATATCCACATATACAGTACAGATATTCATTTGCTACCTTACTTGTAAAGTGAACATCTGATGTGTACACTTGAGCTTCACGGCACGTGGGTGTTGGGGAGCAGCCTGTGTGCGGGCAGGGACTGCTGTACACTGGTGGCAGTGGCAACCCAGCATGAAGCCATCTCCAAGTGTCTGAGAAACCACTCTGTGCCTCAGCCCATGCCTGCCAGCCTCACCTCGAGTCTGTGTGCACCAGCTGAACGTTAGTGTCTGCAGAGAGGGTTCTTGCGGTTATCTGCGTTGACATTCAATTTACAACCCAAACAGCAAAACAGAAAAAAACTTGTCCATGGTAGACAAGTTTGTGCAGGACCCTGCACCCCAGCCCCAGGCACTAGCTCATCTTTTGGGTGGAGTAGTTATGGAGTAGTTATGGTGAGGCCAGCACTGGCATGTTTTTCTCACAGATGTTGGCCCTTCCCATCAGCTAGGGGCACACGACAAACAGTAAGACTGACCAGATAAGAGCCCCGCAGACTGGACAGACCCTGCTTCTTCCTGAGCTCCTGAATGGGAGTGAGAAAGTGGGATTTGGACCTTCTGCTTGAAACATGACACTGAGAAGTGGTCATGAAGCAGGTGCTTTAAAGGGATATCATTATGGAACCCAGGGCTTCGGGTGCCAAGCACAGAGACCCATCCACATGTGCCCAGAGTCCAGAATCACATTGACAATGGTGGTGAGGGGGTGTGGTCACCAGGCCGGCAGCTTGTCACAAGACAGATCACTGGTATTGCACACTGCTGAAGGGTTAAATTCTGTGTTGTCCCTTTCAATAAAAGACTGGCTGTGGGCTGCCAAGTTAAGCAAGGTGAGTGGGCGGCTGTTCTTTCCTGAAGAAAAGCTTATGTTACCAGAGGACGGATCCCCCCTCCCCTCTGCACCTGGGCTTATCAGAGGCAGTGGATTGTCTTCCAGTGTTTCTCATTGCTGGTGTCTTATGCCTGTTTGGTTTATTGTGTTTTTCACTTGAGGTTGTAAATTAAGTTCTACTAGGTGAAACCAGATCACAGTTCTGATAAAGGAAATTTGAATTTGATAATATACTTTTTACATATTTTGATTACCTGTTTTAATTTTTGACCATAGAAGAGCTATTTGATTTGGGGAGGGGAAGTATTTTCAGGTCTCTTGGGTTCCTGAAAAAGAAGGCCCTAGTTGTATGGCTCAGAGTGACTGAGAGCTCCTTTTTTTGGCCGAGTGACAAGTGGCTGGTCAGGTGGACCAAAGCACTTGGGTCCAAGACTCTGCACTCTGCTCTCTGGAAGCAGAAAAGGCAGAGTGTCGGTGGCACCTTAAGGGCTTCCACTTGCACTCACGGGCTCGTCCTAAGTGGCCTTAGGAGGCCATCCCATCAGGAAGCTCTAGTGAGTTCTACAGGCTGCCATGTGGTTCTCGCGGGTTTTTATCCTGTCTTCCCTTCCTCTCCTTTCTGGTTCTGTCACATCTGTCCCCCAGTTGCCTTCCATGGAGGGTTGGGGGTAGCCTCTCTGGTTGGACTTGGTCTTTTTGCACATCCTTCCTCGGGATTTGTCTGCTTATACTGTTCCAGTCTTGGGCCCTTTTGCTTGTCATCTTCCTCACCTGCATGTGGACCAGGATTCTTGGATTAGTCGCTTTGCAGTCCAAACATCACAGCCTATGTTTAAAGGTTGGCGGGAGAGAACCAGTCAGGAAGAAAATCTAAAAACAAGTCTAATCTAAAAACAAGTCTTGGAGCTTTTCCCCCACACCCATGTTCAGTTTACCTGGGGGAAGTTCATTGGTCTGACCTTTGCAGGAGATGTGCTTCTGTATTAAGTTTTAATTTTCATGCATCGCACTCATTTTCAAAGCACAGTTGTGTGCTGGAGGAAAAAAGCCCTCTGGATGTGTGCGGGTCTTACCGCCAACTTGTCCTGACCAAAGCCAGCTAGTGGGGCCTGGAGCTCCTCTTCAACTTCTCCCAGCTTGGCTTCTTTCTGTCTTCCCTGACAGTGGACACGGTTCCCAGGAGCACCTGGTCTCTGATGAGCTCAGTGCCTGTGGAGCTTCAGACTTTCTCTGAGCACAAGTCCCCTCTGCAGGGGACCTAGGCTTCAACCCAACATGCCCACTGTGCTGTTTGCTCTGGCCCATTTAAATGTGCAGCCATGCAACCCAGGGCTGATGAGACTGTGGGGATGTCATCAACAAAGTGACCATTTTGGTTTTGGCCAAATGACTGGATGGAAGTGGTGACCACAGTGCTGCCTGGCTTGTTACCCAGCCCAGCCCCAAATCCCAATGGAACTGGCAGGCCTTGGATAGAATCTGTTCCTGCCAGAGTCCAGGCCACACTAGGAGCTGGGGTGAAGCGGCAAACCCAAGTACTCTCAGCTGACCCAGCACCTGCACTTGGCTGTGAGGTGTAATGAACCTGTACAGATGTGTGGCCCTAGAGAGGATGGAGAGCCTGCTTTTGGGTCTTATGTCCTGGACTCACTTGTCAACACTAGTCAGCCATCCTGTCCTGCCCGTAAACCTGAACTTCTCTTTAAAAGTGGACTTGGTCCTTCACTAACCTGCAGAAATGATAGGCATTCCTTTTTAGCTAAAGGTCCAGCAGGAGCTACCCACTCGTAACTAACTGCCCTGGAGTCTGGGAATGAGACCAGGCAGACCCTGGTTGCCACATGGATGAGGACAGGAGCCTGTACCTGTTTCCTTGATCTTTGGGTCTACAGGACCGTGAGGATTTGTGGAGTTACTGATTATTATCTGCCCTTCCTGAGGTTTTGGCAGGAACTGGGCAGAGGGGAGAGAAGAGAGGGTAGCTCTTTTTGCTGCCTGGTGCCTTCCTGCTGTCTGGGCAGGTGGCAAGCCAGGACCCTGTGGGGGGCCTGTGTTCACCTGCCATTAGTGCCTCTTCCTTGGGTATGTGCATGCATACATGTGCCAGTTGTGCACACACATGGGCAACTGCCTGTGTTAATGAACAGCTGTTTTTGGTTCCCTTCCATGAAAATTAGGTGATTCTGAATTAATTTGATTGGAGTCAAAGGTGAAAAGTCTGGGATAGAGACTGCAAGTGCACAGTCCTTCCCAAGCACAAAGCTCCAGAGCAGAAACATGATTAAGAGGGTCACATGGTACTATCAACCCTGTACTTTGTGTTTAAAGAGATATCTTCTCATTCACCCGTGGTTCTTGCCCATACATTCTTGCAGTGAGATTGTTGGCTGGAGAGCAAGCTAGCACCCACTCACAAGCAGGGTTCCACCATGACAACTGGGTTGCTCCTTGGGAAACTGGGTGAGGGCCAGGGGAGCAATGATCACACTGGGGTAGTGAGTTCCTGCCAATTCCTGAGCAGCTGCTTTCTTAGCTGTGGCAGAAGGGTCAGACTGTGCCACAATTGTTGTTAAAAACAAAATATGCCAACCTTCCCCTCTGCCCTGCTGGCCGTTGTTCATTCAGTCTTATTGATGCAGTCTTTCGGGGTTGCCAAAGGCCTGCAGATTCCTTTCTCACTAAGTCCTGACTCCTAGTCCTCTAGCACCCATTTATGTTCTGGTCTTCAGTGCAAACCCCTTTGTTCTCTGTGGGCCAGACTACTGAGAAGTGAGCCTGGGGAGTGACGTGAGCAATTTGCCTCTGGAGTGCTTCCTGTCTCCTAGGGACAACTGCAGAAGTGATCATCCGAGTAATGAGTGAAGGGCTAGTGTCCTGTTTGTCCAGAGGCAAACTGAAACTCTAAACTATTTGAGGGTCCCACTTCCTATTGTGACCAAGCATGAAACCAAACTGAGAAAAAGGCATGCTCTGTCATTTGGGTCTGAGTGGAAGGGGAATTCTTTACTCTGCATAAATCTTTTGACAAAGATGGAGCTTACCTTTGGTGTGGACTGTGGTGGTGCTGAGGCGGGAGGCATGGGGTTGCCCTCTTTGGGCTGGGTCTCCAGGCCTCACAAGGTCCCCTGTGGGGATGCTGCTATTTCTAAGATGCAAATTGCACATTTCCTAGATTTTTGTATCTGTGGACTTGGATAAGGGAGGGGAACAGGGACAAACTACTTGTACAGTTTGAGATGGGCCTCAATGGTACTTCAAACCTTCTGATCGTTCCTAAATAAAAATGTACATATATTTTACATCTGCTGACGTATTTTATGGGGAGTCAAGGGGGAAAAAACTGGCTTATGTATCCTGTGGGCCAAACTTGATCACAAACTTACAAACTTTGGTGGACAAGTAGAGTTCCTCTCCATTCTAGAATGGTTGCAACCAAAATTATTATTGTGCCTTAATGTCTGTCTCCTTTTCCTTGTGCCACCCCCCCAAAAAAATTTAGTCGAATTTTGCAACTTGGTTTTAGCCTAAGTCCTATTGTACAAAATGCTCAGATTAACCCCGGGAGGACCCGGGGAGAATACTCAGGCTGAGGGCTTGACCAAGGAGGCATGACCTTTTTGTTCACTTTGCTGGTGTGGCAGAACACCCTGATACCGTTCTTTTTCCCTTCAAGAGAATCAATATGGTGAGCTGGTAGGCAAGTTAAGATTCTTCTTGCCCCAGGTCCATCCCTTAGATTGAAGTCCAGGATGTGCTCCGTAGGAGGAAACCTCCTGCCCTTTTTGCGCTAAAATACTTCTTTTTTAAAAAATAACTTTATTATTTTTATGTGGTGCTGAGGGTCGAACCCAGGGCCTTGCACGCGCGAGGCGAGCACTCTACCACTGAGCCATAACCCCAGCCCCTGCGCTATACTTTTTAATGGGTTTCCTCAACCGAGATCACAAACTGCTCCTGCTTTCTTCCTGAAGAGCAGCCTTTTGCCCTGTGGCAGGAAGTGGAATGCTCAGACCTTGTTGGCAATGTTCTCCGCTTGTGTCCACTGGGTAAAAGCTGTTGAAAGCTAAAGTCTGCTCCTTTGACCCTTTCCACTTGTCCCTGGTCTGCCAGCCAGCTGGGAGATGGGCCACTTCTCTTTGCCTCTGTTCCTGGTAACATTCACTTCCCCTCTGACCCTGTTTCTTCTGGTTTCCTCTGCCAGAGTCAGTGCTTCTTAACCCTGATCACTCAATGTCATCACCTAAGGAACTCGCAAACAACACCCAAGGGAGAGAGTGTTCAGGTGCCAGTGTTTTTCAGAGACTCCATGGAGGGTAGTCGGGTGTTACCAGGGTTGAGACTTCCAGTGGGTGGAAGGCAGTGCCACCCACTGTCCCAGGTGCACAGCCTGTGTGTAGGTGAGGCAACTGACCACAGGGTGCCAAAACATTCAGTCCAACAAAGATGGTCCCCACTGGGTCAATCAGCAATGGTCAGGTATGGCTGGAGGAATGTGAAATGAAACTGATTTGTATGTTTGCTCGACTAAGGATATTTTCCACTAGGAAGGATCAAACAGCAGTAGAGGCAAAGGCAATGTGGTAAAGAGCCCTCAGCAGGTGAGCCTTTTGTCCTGGAAGCTGCTAAGGGAAGGCAGAGATGGGCCTCCCTCAGGCCACATTCCAGGACACTTGTTCAGTCAATGAAGGCATTACTGTGGTCAGCACCAACAGACTGTCATCACATGGCGACATGGATGGGCCCTATCTATCTGCAATGCCAGCAGACCACTCCCTGCTCCAGAAGGAACACTTTCTCCTTGGTCCACAAGAATCTGAAGCAGGAAAAAGGGATTCCCACCAACCACCTCTCTGTGCAAAAGGACCAACCAACCATCCTCTCTCCATAATGGGATGGTGAAGCTCTTACAGGTGAGAAGGTGGCCTTATACCTCCCGTTCGTCCAGAAAGAAGATTGGCTGGACCTGAGAGGTTTCCAGAAATGTCTCACACAGCTTCTATTGCCAAATAATCACCAGACAACCAGTTTCCCTGAGCCCCCATTCCACAAAGCATACGAGTTAAAGGAAAAAGGACATGAGGATGATTTATTTGGCAGTCAGATCTTAAGAGGGCAGCAGAACTAGCAAATGGCCAACCCTGAGCCCAAACGTGGGCAGTGGGTTTGCGTGTGCTGAATGCTGGCTATGCTATGAGGCACCATTGCGCCCACGGGCCTGGACCCCAGCCTCTATCCTCAGAGGTAGGGGCTGCCTTCCCGAGCTTTCCATCTCCTTCCCTGCATATTTTTACCAACTAGACAAAAGTTGTGCTGAGCCAACACCTTGGGTCAGCACCTGACTGACTGACTCTCCCTACCTGTGAGGCAGCAGCTCCTTAATTCCCTTCCTGTTCCTAAGGGAGAATAGATTGAGTCTTCATTTCATTGCTAAAAAAAAAAAAAAGAAGAAGAAGAAAAAGAAAAAAAGAAATAAAAAGCTCACCAGGATAGGCTTGGCCCTTTCTTCTCTTCCCCTCCCATTCCTCCACCCCTTGGTGCCTTAATACCCCACACTGAGCCCCACCCAACACAGCTGGCTGCCGCTCCCAAAGGCTCTGCTCTGAGATGGCCCTTCAAGGGTGAGGAGCAGAAGGAGTAAATAACTTAGTTATGCTACCACTGAGAAGAAAAATAATACTGCTATTTTTATCATGATCCCCTGTATCTTTCAGGCTGGGTAGTATTCCCGGCCATGGGCAATGTGCCCTTGTGCTGTGTCCTCCTCCTCCCTGCAAGGCAGAGCCCTTCTCCACACAGGCCCTGCATTCCTCCACCCTGGCTCCAGGGCTAAACTGCGGGGGCATCTACCCTCTTACTCTGCCCAGCTGTGGTTTTAAAGCTACAGGACAATGTAAACTTTGTTTCCCTGGCCCAGCAAGGCGGCTCCTCCTCCTCCACTCAGGAATGTCAGCGGCTCCTTGAAGCCTCCTATGCTGCTGAGGCAGCCTCTCCAAGGGGCTTCGGCCCTGCTTCTGTCCCTACAAGATGGAAGAACCCATCTCCAGAAGTCAGGGCCAGATGTGTGTGCTTAGTGCGAGACACAGTACAGTTTTTGCCTTCACCCAGAATTGGGCATGGAGGCCCAAAACAGTACATCTCATTAATGGCTTGGTTTTGTCTAGCATTCGCTGCTGGAATCCAGACTCCAGGCTGCAAGACCAGGAAGGCTGCCATGGCAGGCGGCTTCCACAAAACCCAGTCCAAGGCATCCCACGAGGCGTGCAGCACCTGCTGCTCTCAACCAAGCTGGGACGCAACTAGAGGCGGTTGTCTCCATTGACCCGAGTCCTCCTTGGGGCCCTGGACGAAAGGAAGAGTGTCCTTACTGTCAGTAGGACCTGGTAGATCAACCGGATAGCCCAGAGCAAAACAAAGCTTTTCTATCCAGGAGAAATGCTGGAGAAGCAGGACCCAGGTCTTCCTGAATCCAACAGCCCTTTCCAAGCTGCACATTGACCACCTTCCCCCTACCACCCTCACCTTCGCTCCCGACTGTCAAAGTGGTCTGTGAGATGCTCCTGGGAGATGCGGAAGTCCTCAAATGGCTGCTGGTAGCGGGCTTCAAAGGAGCCTTCCCGGGGCCGGCCATGAAACAGCTGGCTGGAGGCATCTGAGCACCGCTCCCGCAGGGATGTACCACTGAAGGGACTGAGGTCACCATTCTCCTGCTCAACAAAGGCAAGTCAAGGGGTCCTCTGTACCTCAGGAGGCTCCCCACCCTCTCCCCAAGCTAGCCTACCCACCCTGATAGTTACCTTGGCAGGGAAAATGTCAATCTTAATGAGCAGAGAGGCCAACTCCAGGTCCTCACTGTAGTTGTTCTTCAAAGGCACTGCTCTGTATCCTAACAGGAGGAAAGCCTGGCCCTCAGCACAGGAGGGCACCAAGCAAGTGGCCCCACCCTGGCAGCAAGGCCATAGGGCATTATATGGAGAAAGGGTCCTCACCTATTTTCAGGCCTTTGACTGGGAAAGTAGCCTGAGCCAAAAAGTTCTGGTCACTAAACATGTCTTCCTCATAGACCACAAAGCGAAGGAAGGCAAATTCAGGGTTACTGATCTGGAACTGGAAAGGCTTGGCTGGCCACACAGGGTTCAGTCCATTGTCCACTGTGAAATTAGGGGCAAAAGGTTTCAGGACACCACTAAGAGTATGGCGGAACCTGTGGGGAGAGGACATCAGTGCCCAGGAGGGTGAGGCAGTGACTGGGGAAGGTAGACTCACCCACAAACTCGGTCTTCTGTTTGGTACTGTCATACTCAGCTCCAGCCACCTCAATCTCCACAAAAGGACACACGATGCCCCGGCCATTCTTCGGCAAGTGCCGGGCCCCCAACACCTGTGAGGCAGGCAAAGGTGGGGTAGGGCTGTCCGGCTCCAGCAGTCTCCACTGCAGGAGACTCAGGCAGCAAATGTGACATAGGGACAGTGCGCCCTCTGCTGGGCCTCAAAGACACAGCCCATTAAGTCAGGGTCCTAAGGGGATCCAGAGCAGTTGCTGCCTATACCAATTTATTGGAACTTGGGACAAAATTTTTGAGTTTTGCAATCCACTTCATGTTAAATCCATTTCAATATGGAAGTCTTTGAAATTATTTCCCCTTAGGACCTTCCCCTTAGAACAAAAAAAAAAAAAATTTACCCATGGCTCTGCACCCATCCTCAATATGCCCAACTCAGGTCATGTGCTCATGCTCCTACACTCCTCTAAGACTCTGCTCAGGTCTCTCCCACCCTGAACCCACAGCACTGGGTTGGCCCCTGTCGCAACTTTTCAGCAGGCATGTGCTGGGGAGCTCTGGGAGCATGGGTGCCAGGAGGCTGCTGGTCTCTTGAGCAAGCTTAACTCTTGCTTGCTCCTGCAGGCTCCTGGCTCATCACAGGCCCTGTCTCTAAATGAAACATAAAAAAGGGCAGGGATGTGGCTCAATGGTCAATGGGGCCCTAGCCCCAGGCCCATCCTCTGCCTTTCTGACCAGCCTACTCTTGCCAGTTAGTGGCTTCCTACAGCTTGGCCTTACTGGAACCTGATTCGTTTGGTGCCAAGATGGGAACACAGTCAGCTCAGCTCCACAGCAAGGACCCACAGCTGACTACTTTCTATATTAGGAGAGTTGTGTCTTCAAACATAAGGCCAGCTCCAGTGCCCCTAAGACCCAGGAAATGCTGATCTGTACCCTTGCCCCAGCATGCCAGCAGTTCCCAGCTCTGATGTCCCAAACAATCTCTACTCTTGGCCAGCTCAGTGTCAAAATGAGCG